AAGAATTCCAAACTGTGTCGGCCCCGGGGGTTTGCACAAGGGATGGAGGTTTGCACGAGGGATGGGATCCTGCATGGCACTTGCTGTGTGGGACTGAGCTGCCGGTTTCCTCCTTTATCAGCACTGCGCTGCCTGCCAACTACTGACAGGCTCTGAGGGTCCCAGGCCTTTCTGTTCCAGGGCACCCCAATGTGAATTGGGGTGCCTGTGCGTCTTCACCCGTGTGCTTACGATTGAATCGTATTATGGACACACTCAAAAGGTTAAATAATGGGTTTATTTATAAGGAGAAAGGTAAAGCAATAACCCAGGGAAAGAGGGAGAGAAACACAGGTTAACTAGGATGCCCTACCAGTTCTGCTGACGTGGACTCCACCGGCAGCTGAAAACCGACTGAGCGCCAAAACGATCAGCTGCGAACCACCAGGTCCCCCCAGAGCCCACATGTCCAGTTTTATCCCAACCTGGCTGCTCAGCTCCGCCCTCACATCCCAGCGTGCTTCTCCTTGGTACTGATGGGATTTGGAGTTCCAGCATCTGGAGTGGGGGCGGGGTCCATGACACCTGTACCTGTTACATTTCCACCCCTCAATCTGCCGGCTAGACCACGAGCCCCACACCCAGCTGTCCCTCCCTTTCCTGCTGGCTGCTTTTCCAGAAGGGCTTCGGGGCCAGGGACTCGAAGCTGCCTCCTCCCTAGCTCATCAGCTCTCCCCCTCCTGCCCCTCCCCTCCCCCTTCCTCCTCTCCTGTCCTCGTCCCCTGCCATCATCCCAACAAGCATTTGCTCAACCTCTAGCTTGTTTGGAGAACAGCACAAGACCATGTGCAAAGAAAACAGAAAAATCTCTCCCTGCTCAGCTGAGATCACATCGGGGGAGCACATAACTCATCACTCAAACCTGCGCAGGGAGTGACGGCAGCCTGGCGGCCAGTCCCATCCCCTCTGCTGAAACAGCAGCAGTCAGTCCCATCCCGGCCAGGGAGTGACCCCTCTGGCCCCCAGGGTGCAGCAGACCGCGCCTGACTCTGCTCCCCACTCTGTCTCTGGTACATCTCTCACCACCCCTGCACCTCTGGCCTGAACCCCAGCTCTGTATGCATAAATAAATAAGTCTTAAATAAAGACATAAATCTTTTAAAAAATTGGGCCGAGTGGGGCCCAGCGCTCCACCTGTGCTGTTAGACTCAGCACCTTGATGGCCAGCTCTGTTCTGTGGGGCGTGGAGCCACAGGGGATGGCAAGGAGAGGGACAAGGTGACAAGTGCCGCCAAGGTGGCGCCTCCACCCTCTGGCTTAGACTCGGGGTGAGGAGAGGCCGGTCCTTAGCCCACTGCTCTGGGAGCGACACATCAAGGTCACACAGTGAATATGGGATAAAATGGATTAAATCGGGCATGAGACGCCCCCCCCCCAAACCCCCAGGCAGCACTGCTCCTGCTGGCTTGTCAGCGCCTGTGTCTGGGTGTCTGTGCCCCAGAATCTAGCGGTCAGGGGCTGTGCAGCCCCTGCCTCTTGCTTGGGCAGGGCGGCCCCCTTTTAACGGAAAACACCCCAGCTGGGACAGAAGGCACAAGCAGACCTGTGGGCCATCTGAAGGCAGGAGAAGGATAAGCTTGGAAGAAATTGGGGTGCAGGGGCCCGCTAGTGAGCCTGAGTGTTACAGATCAGCCGAGCCCTGCAGGAGCAAAGGGGGTCTCCGTGGAAAGGAGACCATGTGTTCCGGAAGCCCAGCCAAAGCAACACCCCCACCATGCTCTTTCTGTGCAAGCCTGAGGCTCCTCTGTGCCTCCTTGTGCCCCTCCTGACCCTCCTGGTAACTTAAATAGCTAATCAGGTGCTCCCTGAGCTAACCGTGTGCAAACTTCCCAGTGACCTTCAGCACTGTATTTAGCTGGCATTTCCTTCTGTGTCCCTTTCTATGAACCAGCTTGGCCTTTGCTAATCATTAAAAGTGGTCACCAAAGTCAGTAGATCTGAGTTTCTGTGACCAGCATGTCTTGTGACATTAGCTTGTCCCCTAAAGTATAAAACCAAC